CAGCTTCGAGGCAACCGAGGGGCATCCCCTTATCCCTGCTGAGAGCAGCGGGGGATGCTGCCTCGCGGGCACAGCCGCGGGGGAGGCACCTTGCACCCTTCCTCGGCTTCCCACAAAGCAGTCATACCGTGCCTTCCCTGCAACGATGCCATCAGGGATCCCAAATGAACCTCCCCCAGAGGACCCAAACTGTGAAAGCTAAAGCCAAGTCAACCAGATGCACTAGGACCCACAAAATAAGTAGCCAGTTTGGGGGTTCTGCTAGCCAGAGGTTTCTCTTGTGGCCAGATACGCTAAACCAGCCGTGCTGGGGGTGTCGATGAGTATCTGGAGGAAAGGACCTCACCTACATTACAAGGGGAAAGGACAGCAGCATCTTGTGGCCCTTGGACAGTCCTCCTCAGACAGCAGCTCTGGAGTTTGCTGTGTATGTGTTTCTTTAAGCAGTCCTTCACAAAATGGCTATAATCTTATTGCCTGTTCTACCTAGTGGCATGCCCCAAACCATACCAAACAGAGATAAAGGTAACAAATATACATTATAGAGAAGTTTGACTGTATTTTCAGGCAGCCATGACAATCTCCACTGATGTGTTCATACTCATCTGTTGGTTTAGATGTGGTAATTGCAGGCACACATTAAAGACACCTTAGCAAAGGACTGGGGAGTTATATGTATTCTGCTAGAGATATTCATGGAAACTGTGTCACTCAGGCCTCTTTGAGCATCTCAAACAGAGAAAGGAAGGTGAAAACATTAACTTCAGTAGCTGCTTTGCACTGAATTTTAAGGTGTCAGCTTCCCATTTCTGCCACCAGTATTATTTTCCCCAATTATGTAGATTAGGTGAATCTCCTTAAAGCTAGTTTAGGTATGACAGCAATGCAATTATTTCATATTAAGCACTACTTCATGCTCAACAACTTACCTGTTAACTCCTGCCCTTCACATAGCATGGGCAAACATGCAGTGAGCAGTGCTTTTCCACTCATCTCCAGCCCTGAGGCTGGAAGTTGCTCTGTGCAGATTAAGCCCTGTGTGCAGGCAGGGGTTTTTAAATGGAGCTGGGCTCACAGTCCAGTTTACTACTGTTGACATGGTCCAGGCCCAAACAGGCACTTCACTGTGGACAATGGAGAGGAGAAAGGGGGAATTTCAGCTCTTGTGCAACCTCTCCACCCTGTCCTTGTAGGCAGAAATTGAAGGTCCAGCCCAAATCCCCCATGCCTTCTGCCATGCTCTGTATGCCTCACACCACCACTGTGGTGGATGTCTGCAGTGTAGGGGGAAGAAAGGAGGCTAATTTTGCTGTCAAAAGTCAGAGCAGCAATGTGGTACTCAAAATCGCACTGTCAAGGTTTCCCCACATAAACCACATGTGGACTTGGTAAGAAAAAAATATCCTGAGAAGGATCATTACTGTAGTTGCTTTGGCAGATAAGCACCTTCCCTCTGAAGCTGCATAAACACAGGACCTTGGCAAAAGAAACGAGGTGCAGAAGGATGTAATCCTCAGACTGAAGAGCTCTGCAAGGTCACACTTTCCAAAAATATCCCCTTGCAGCACAGGGTAGAGCAACAGGACCTCCTTCCTCAGGGGAGCATGGTCCCAGGTGTAAGACAAAACAGCCCCAGCAGCACATTTTAAGGGTGTCAGCCCAAGGTGACAAAAAGTCCCTCCCAGCCAGTCCCTCCCGATACGCACCATGGCGGTGAGAGACTGCGATTCGCGCACCGTGGCAGCACAGCTCAACAGGGCTGCCAGGATCAGGGTCATGCTCAGGCAGATCCCAAAGTAGAAAGCTAGAAAGAAGTCAGATATGGGAATTGCAGTCACATGTCAACGGCTAACAGAGGCTTAGTCTGATGCTTTCACCCAGAGAGGGGCCAAAAAGTGAGTTTTGGGGAGTTGGCCTGAAGCGACCAGGTTGCAGAACTGAAATTGTTCTGTTATTTTTTCAGCATCCCCCATCTGTGTATGCTTCACTTGTCTAGTAGAGCTGTAAACCTCTGAGAGGTTCACACAACTCCAGTAGAGCGAAGCACTCTACAAGGGTGTTGGTCCACCCAACAGACCACAAGCTGCCAATTATTTCAGCACTCTGATAACAATCCTCCCAAGTGGGGGGTGCTGGTGAACAGCAGCTGTCCCATGGCCTCTATCAGAACTTGGGGTGCTGCTAATCTGGTGCAACACTCACCCTCTGGTTTCCTCCTGGTTAAGGCAGGGTCACAGCCAGTACCCCGGGGCAGGGCTCAGGGACCACAATACTGCAAAGGGCTTTTCTACCCTAACTATGCAGAGGTAACACTTGCCAGCAAGGCAACTGAAGAGGTGTGGCTGGGATGAGAGGGCCTGCAAGGCTGCAGTCAGTGCTGATATATAGCCTCAATGCGTGTAGAACAAGGGAGGGCTGTACCTTCAGTTTGGACTAACAGAGCTCTTACACCTGTCTTGTTAAAGTGAAATTGAGAAGCAGAGACTAGAGGAGGGTATGAGCATGTTTAAGCCCAGAGTACAGCTTGGGAGAAGCAGCAGATGCAAGCGCAGGAGAGGTGAGCCGCATATTTTAGTATCTGGGCTATCTTTGCTCTAGCCTTGTTCCTGAGACTCAGTTTATATTTCTCCCTTGTGAAAGGGAAAATATCCCACATTTCTTAAAAAAAACCTCCAGATGTTTCCATGTATTTCTCCTCCCAGCCTCAATTTTCTATGCTCTGCTTCAATCCCTGTAACAGTCCTTCTCCCCATGCTTCCCAGGGCCCTGCCAGCCCCCCTGCACCTTTAGGTTCATCTGTGGCTGAGGAGCTCCCCCTGAGCTATCACTGTAGGACCAGGGGAAGATGGTGAATAGAGGGACAGGAGCAAATGCAGAAGCATCTAAAGCACTCTGTGCTCCCACAGCACCCTTTGGTGGCAACCATGTGGCCCTGATATGGGAGAAAGGTGCCTGTGGGACTCTGTTAGTCCTCACACATCCTCCAAAAACCAGCCCCTTTCCTCCTCCCGAGATACCTCTGCATTTCCTTCAATTGCTTTAGGGAATTTTGCAGCTCCTGGTACCACCAAAGGTCTCACTGGGATGTGGCCACAACATACCTGTGTGGTGGATGACTCTGTAGGAGTTGCTTTCCAGGGAGATATCACTGATGAGGGTGAAATGGAGCCCATAGTGGGTGACTGTGCTCAGTATGGCAATGGATAGCCCCAGCAGCTGGAAAAGAAGGGTTTTAGGAAGGGATTTACATGACAGAAGCTCCTGTTGGGTGCACACAAAGCTTTGAGTTGTATCTGGATACCCCTGAGCCCCATGCAAATGCAGACAGCCTGATCATCCAAGGACTGCCACATGTACCTCAAAAACACACAAAAAAGGACAAACCCCAGACACTTAAAAATATTAAAGATCTTTTTCTCTCTTGCATAATGAGTGCATGTGACACTGCTCAGCCCACAGTCTCTTGGCCAGTGTCCATGGGTTAAATTCCCACCACGTGAAGAAAACCCTGATGATCAATGCTCTTGCAGCACACCCGCACAGTCCCATCCCACTCCGCAGAATACTCAGTGTGGCTGTGAGGGCTGCCAGCTTCAAGAGTGGTTTCGGGCAGGGATGACATTCGCTGCTTTGCTCTTTGTAATGCTAGTCCCCTTGCCTTGCTGTTGGCTCTATTTCCTATTGCAGAGTGCAAAGAGCTGAGTCTTGTACTATTCCGTTATCCGTGCTTGTTTCTGTATTGCTGGGCTGTCTGCTTCTGTCCTATCCCTGAGAGAGCTAGCATGTGTAAGGCATGGAGTAACTACTAGTACATCACCCTCCATATTGCCCAGAGTAAGCCCAGGTGATGGAGAGGGAACATTTCTGATGGCACCTGGCTCTAGAGCAGGGCTTTTTGGAGCATGACTGGTGGCAGAACTGGGATGAAGGCACCAACAGTGGGACAGTTAAAACCAGCTCCAAATCTAATGTAGTGGAAATACAAGATGTAAGGCCACTCCTATCTCCTAAGAGAAGACTTCATCTTTTTGTGCCTTTACAGCAGGGAAACACAAGGCAGCTATACCTGTGTCAAATGTGCCAGTGCAATGTCAACATAATCCCTACTGTGTGACATTTTCTAATAGCTTTTGCTGGAGACTTACAGTTTTGGGACTAAATATATCCAAACTGTAGCATTTTATGTTACCTACTTTGTGGTACTTCCTGATCCTTCATACTGTGCATTACTGCGTATCTCGACCCACGCCCAGGAAAATGCTAAGTGAAACACCAGTTAGCTCAGATTTCTGAGAAACACCAGCCTAAAATCCGAACAACAGCAATAATGGGATTCTAACCATCCACAGCAGCTGTGCCTTCATGTCTCCTCTAAACGTGCTTGGTACCAATTCTCCTTTGATTTCCTCCAAATAACACGTTTGGTTATGTGGAAGAGAGAACAATGTTACAGCCACTGCAGCCAACAGTCTTGGAATGCTGAAATTTGGACCAGCTATGAATTTAAAAATAAGGTATTACCTTTTAAAGTACACTCTTTTCAAGCCACCAGCCCTCTGTGAACTAAATACATACTATAATTGCTATTATTACTACTACTATTAAGCTGGCAAGTTTTGATGAAGTGAAAAAAAAGGCAACAAGCACACACAAGTCAAAACCAGGCAGAAGTGTTCTCCAATTTCCACCATTTCCCGTCACTTCTAACAGCAGATGTTAAAGAAGCACCCCTTGAAATTCCTTCAAAAGCTGATAACAAGAATCCCTAGAATAGCTTTCACTTTGCAGGGCTGATCCACAGGTCTCTCACATACACTTCCATCAAAGCCTTGTGGTTCATACCCTCACTGATCCCACCTGCAGCCGACCATCCCCCCCAGCAACAAGTGTGACTGCAGCAGGTGCATCCTCCCTCTTCTGCTCCAAGGAGACAGGAGCAAATATCTTTTTGCTGAAAACCACTCATCCTGCCAACAGCAACCTTTCCTTTCTCCTTCGAGTCAGCCACTGAGTTGTGCAAGAGCTGCAGTGGCGTGAAAGCCCTGAGAAAGCAGAAGTCTATCAGTGGAGAGGGGGCGATGCTGGTGGCCAGTGATAACTGCCCAGGGCGCAATGATAACTCAGGCAGTTGGCTTTGCTTGCCCTCCACCCACAAAAAACAGAATGTGGGAAAACCTGACCCTCTCTGAGCAGGGATGGGAAAGGCAGCAGTTCACCTTGGCTCCACAGAGATCCCCCCAAACCTGCCTGCTCACCATGACACAGAGGCTGGTCACCAGCAGCTGGCACTTGGTGGTCCTCGTCCCGCACCTCAGTCCCATGGCAGCTTGACCCCAGAGAGAGCTGGCAGTTGGTCCCTCCAGCTCTTGATAAAGCCTGGGTTTCCACCAAAGGAAGGCATGGCCACAGCGGGGCCTCTCAGGAAGCGCAGTCCCCACCACGTGCTGATGCACCTCCTCCTGCCTGATTATTAAATCCTGTTTAGAGCTGTCACCTTCTGCACAGGCTCTCAGTCAGCTGCCATCAGCTCCCATATGCAGACAGCTGGGAAAGAATGAAAGGCATACATAAAAACAACCTTACACAGAATGAAAGCTCCTTAAAAAAAAATCTAAAAAATTTGAAACTGTTCAATCAAGAGTCAGTATTAAAATAACCTTTCACAAAATGAAAGCTCCTTAAAAAAATTTAACAAAATTGAAACTGTTCAATCAAGAGTCAGTATCAAAATACCTTGGTTTTGACTTTTACTGGGACACAGTTTTACTTAATGAATATTGCCAGTAACTTCTTTTTTTTTGTAATCTGCATAAATAGTATTTTGGGAAAATGTTTAGGAAAATATTATTTAGGCAAAAAAATCTGCATAAATAGTACTTTGGGGAAAAGTTTAGGAAAATATTATTTAGGCAAAAATTAACCTGTTGTTTAAAGAATAGATCAAACCCCCAAAAGAGATCTGCATACAAAGTCTTCTCTCCCCTTTCAAAACTACCACATGACATTGAATGAGTCGCTATTAAAACTTTTATTTATGGGCAAGGGAAAAAACCATCTTTGGTAGTATTGTATTCAGGAAAATGGCTATATGTAAATATAAACCCCTGCTCAGGACACCCTCACTGTCCATGGACATTTTAACTCTGTCCTTTCTCCTCTCCCAGCACTGAAAACTCCATGGACCCATGGCTGCAGAAGACTCAGGTGACTTCTGTTAAAACCAGCTGTCTCCTGGATGCATATTTCTCAAAACTAAATCACAAAAAAACCCTCAAGAACAATATGGCCAAAGGGAGCCTGAATGACTGAGTGCCTTAATCATCCTTAGTTTTGGAACTAGACTGGTGGAAAATAGGTGAACCAGAATAATGAAAAATAGCTGCACTCCCCCCATGTGGCAAAGAAAGGGGGTAAAAAAGTAAAACAATTCCACATTAGTAACTGCAGTTACAGGAAGATGACAAAGAAGAAGGAGAGGAGTGAAAAAAGGAAGGAAGATGCCTTTTGTAGAGCAAAGAAAAGCAAGAGAAAAATGAGTTGCACAAAGCCATGTGTACAGGAAAAAGCATATCATGATTTTCTGACTCAATCACTATCTTTCTTGCAAGTTTTCTTGCAAAACATCTTGGTTGTAACCTTCTGAGACACCAATGAGAGCTGCCACAGCCACATCCAAAAACAGATGTCCCCACAGCTCACAGGTCTCTACCCTGGGTGGGGAGTCTCGGATGCCCAACCAGAGACACTGACGTACCTGTGTGCAGATAGAGACCTTCCTCCCCTGGACATCAGCTGGAGACCACCTGAGAAAAAGCAACAGATGGACAGCAGGGCAGGAGGACAGTGGGGAGAAGACAACAGACTGGTGAAACAGCTGATGCCCAGTCACCCACGTTCAGGAGTAGGAACCCTGGAGACAGGCCAGGTGGAGAGAGTGCCTAATAAAACACTGTGTCAAGGTAAGGACTGCATCTGAATGCAGAGCTGTGGGCACCCATCGTTTCTTCTGGCACTAGGGACAGACAGGGGTGTTGTCACGTGCATTTTCAAGGGGAAGGATCACTGACATAAAGGCAGCAGAGCTGGTCCACAGATGGAGTTACAGGTTAAATCTGAAAGGGCTGCAAGAAGATATGAGCACGGCTCTGTGTGTAACACTAGCTAGGGCAGCCCAACCGCAAGAGACGGTCAGCAAGGGTACAGCCGTGTCACCTGCCTAAGCACGCCCGGAGTCTGTTTCACGGCGAGGCGCAAGAGAAAACCCATGGAATACATCTTCATTTCCCTCTCGACCCCAGTTCCTTCCCCAATCCTAAATGCCTATCACGGCAGAGAGAGCTGTGCGAAGCCAGGTCTCACACTAGAGGTCCCCACAGACCAGCAGAACCCCTTCCCGAAGGTCGGGATGCTCGAGCTGGGCTTTCTGGAGAGCAGTTCCCACACCAGTTTCACTAAAGTCTTCTCGGTCCCTGCAGGAGCCTCGCACCTCACCGCAGGTCCTCCTGAGCGGTCACAAAATCATCATTTACACCCCTTGGAAGGGCTCCTAGTCTTTGCACGAAATATCTTCCCCCTTCTTTTGTCTCCAGCCATAAAAACGGGCACCTTCACTGACTCACAGGGCTCTGAAAGCAGGTTTGTGACTTCAAACACCTGGGTTTAAACAACTGATTCCTCTGTTTTGACTGAAAATGCCTATTCCTGAGTTGCTTGCCTATGCCCTCTGATGCCTCTCCCACCTCCAGCACTTGGTGCCCTGCCTTTTTTGTCTGCTGGTGGAGGGATTTTCTGCCGTTTCTCTTTTCTCTGTTTTACTCTTTATCCCATACATGTATAACTCAAAAGTTTTTTGTTTGGGGCAGAATGTATGTGGATTTCTACAATAAAAAATAAAACAAGAGCAAAAGTAGTTATTCCCTCGCCCAAAAAGAAAGTCAAAAAGAAAGTCACTCCCTCACCCCAAAGAAAGCTGGAGCATCAGTAGAGCTGGGATATTAAGAGGTTAGACTGTGGTTGAGGGAGGCACATTTGACACATGCAAAGGCACTACTGAACGCAGCACAGGGGAAGTCCAAGCACTTATCTTACCTGTGCCCATCCAAAAGGGAATCTGTACAACACTTCACTTTCAATGGGTATTGCACATCCTCTGGGTACGCTGTTATTGGCACACACCTGCCTCAGCAGCTCTCTGCTAGGGAGCATTGGTGAGAAGCAAGGTGTCCCCCCAGCCTCATCCCAGTGGGAAGAGCAGCAGGGCTGGTGGTATGCTGGGGAATCATCCTCACAGTCAGCATATGGGCTGGATGGCAGCATGGCTTTTCCATCCAGACTCGCCCTCCTGCCCGCCCTGCCAGGTTATATCAGTTGGTCCTCTTTGCCAGAGCACAACTTAGCCCTCCCAAATGCAATTCAAAAACTACAGGTGACCACAGCTCCCACCTGTGGCTTCCCCTCTTATCTCTGGTTATCAGCTGGAGCATGGAAAGAGGGTAATGAGTCTGAAAATACCCCAGGGAGCACAGATGCTTTCTTCTTCTAGCCTTGTGGCAGCTTGCATTAACTGTTATTAAAATATATCCCAGCACCTCCAGTTGAATGGGTGTCAGAAGGACATACCACCCCATTGAGAAGGAAAGGATTTAAAAAAGGAAACAAAGCCAGATCATATCTTTGGGAAAACTATAAACCTCCAACCCTCTTCTGAGCTGGAGGCGAATGATGCCCATGTTACTAGAGGGATGTCCTAAAAGAGCTGGGGAATTTGATGTGTTAATGCTGCATGGGGTGAACTTGGGACAGGAAACATAAATGGAGAAGAGGCTGAATTCATGCTAGTGCTTTCTCAATCTCTCGCTCTGTTGGTGCAGCCCACAATGATGGAATAACCCAGTCTCAGCTGTCTGAACTCTCTCGAGGCAGCAGGAAAAATAAATTTTCCCCTTGGCTTTGGGGTACTGTTACTCATGCTCCTGAGAAAGGATGGACTGGGGACATGGAAGAGAGGATGTTACCCAGGAGCCAAAACTACACCCATTATCCAGGCAGAACATATCTGTGCCAGGTCCCTGCCACCTCTCATGAGTCTCCTCCTTTGCCAGTCCACAGCACCATTAGAGAAAATACCTCTCCTCCACAGTGGAGAACAGCTCCACATGTGTCAGATTTACAACTGTCAGTTCCTCAGCCCATTCAGACTCTCAGCTACTGCCCGTAACATGGCTGTATTCACCCCAAAGCTCGCTCGTAAATAAAACATGTCCATATCAAACTGCACCACAGCCATAGGAATGATGGGAAGCCAGGGAGACCTCACAGCCCACATCTGCCTTCCTGGGCACATCACAAGGATGCATTTTAAGGGCTGCTTAGCATTCATATAGCACATATGCACAATCAAAGCTAAAAATCCACTTTTAAACCCGAGGCTATCTCTTTTCAAGAAGCAAAGAGAGGAGAAAATGGGGAGGTGCTGGGCTTTGCTGAGCTTCAGATGCACCATACAACTCCGCTGTGGACTTGGAAACAAGGCTGGCTGGAGGCTGCCTTGGAAGAGGCAGAAACAGATAAATAATAAATTCTCAAAAGGACTTTTTTACTTATTATTATTTTCAACATGTGTCTCAGAAATCCTCTAGTGGTTCCCAGGCAATTTGAAATTATTATAGGTGAGCAAATAAAATGTCAGATGAGCTATTAAAAATAGTTCATCAAGTCCACAAAAGATTACATTGGAAAAGAGCATAAGATGAAGACAGGGAGTTCCCTTCACAGAACAAACTCAAATTAACTTCTTTCCCCACTCAAAGTGAAACAACCATACTCATAGCTCTCAAGCACCGCCCTCTACCTGAACTAAATTATTTTTCTTTTCCACGTGTTATCCAATGGCAAACCATAACTGCTGTGCAGTTGAGAGATCTGACGCCCTGCTCTAAGTAGCCCTGCTCCTAACAAAACTGGCATGAGCACAGCCCAGTCTGGCAAACAGGGACTCACCTGCTCACCAAGAACAGAGCTGCCCAACTGCCCATCACCATTTATTTGTGTCATGTGTCCTCTCAAGCCTTGTTGCAACAGGACCTCTATTGCTTTCCACTCAGGTCCGCAAAGTTTGGGCAAAAAGCCCATGCTCATGTCAGCATGCCTGTAGTGCATGGGTCACATCAGCACCCCATCTGCAGCCTTCCCACTGACACACATGCCGAGTCAGGGGCAGCACTTTGCTCTCACCTTTGACAAATCCAAGAACTAATACGTGGTCTCAGGGCTCAGAGGCCCTTCATGGCAGAGTTCCCCTCTCTCTCTGGGCATAGTTTTC